TCTTCTCTCCTTTTTTTTTTTTTTTTTTTTGTGGAAATTAGATTTGAACATCGGTATTTAAAGCCAAACTCCATTCCTCTTTTAATGCCATACTTTAATAAGTGGTATCAAAGTTGATAGTTCAACTTAGTTTTGAATAAATTATGTAATTTGAGTCTCTCATAAATTATTGTTTCCTTCTAGTTGGCCTAGGTTCAATAATTGGTCCCTCACAGTGCCATTAAGTGTGAACACTCTAAATGAACATGTTTACAAAAAGGAAAATATAAAAATAAAAATATGTAAAGGTGCTGATAGAAGAGTTAAAAAAATAAAATACAAACTTGATTAAAAAAACCCTAAAAAAGCCCTTATGTCTAAAACAGTTGAGCATTGGGATGCTCTAGCCGTTTATAAAAGAGTTAAGGTGTTGAGAGCTTGTCGTGGCAAGTTTGGACAAATAGAAACGTAGTTCAAATATTGCCAGCCGTGAAGGTCTTGGAACGTTCTTCAGTTTCTTTATACGTAATTGTTTGTTGTAAACATTTTAAGTGTCAATGCTATTTTTATTATGGTACCTTTGCACAAACATGATTTACTCTTAATTATGCTTATAATCGAAAGCCCAAACAATTGAATGAATAAATTATCTCATCATCTTTTTGTGTTTAATTTTGTGCACTGACATAACTATAGGTGTTAGTTAAATAATTACAATAATTTGTGTTGTTGAATTCATTATTTTTTATTTTTCCAAATTACTAAATTCTCACTCATTTCAATCATTTACTAACATCATAGGCTCTTGTGTATTGTCTTATATATTGCATTATTGTGGAATCTTAATGATGATCGTTGCTATGTATATACGCTCATAATATTTTTTTTATTCACATTAGAAGGTTGATCAATCCTAACATTGAAAAAATATGATATTTAAATTGTGCTGATTGTTATATTAATGCTTTCCATGTTGCATTCCATTGGTGTATATTTAGCTTCCATAAAACAAAAAAAAAAACTATGAATCGATCAATGTTAAAACTGGGTGGTTCATCAAAAGTTTGACCGAGTTCGCTATCTATGAATCGATCAATTGTTGTGAGATATGTATTTCCTGGCATAGAAATGAGACGAAAAAGAACACAAGCAAACACAGATCGTTTACGTGGTTCGATCCAACTGGATCTACGTCCACGGGAGGGAATCAATCAAATATTTCACTAAGGCAAAAGAAATGGAGAATACATAGCTTATACATAGAGATGAG